TATTAAAGCTTTAAATGTATAAAATCGCTCTGCCCACTTGTTGTCGGGATATTCTAAAATGCCACCCCTGATTGAATGTTGACTTCGCCTCTGTATAATGTATATAAACATACTTAAGCCAAATCAAATGTTTTATATATTAAAATATAACCAATATTTTTTATTTTTCATTTACATGTATTTCAATAAGTTGGTTTTTAATTTTTATATTAATGAAACTTTCATTTCTCATCAAAATGATCTGATCAGAAAATCAATGACAAAAATCAGATAGAAAAATACATTGACCATCAGACGCACAAGTGTTTCAAACCTTAACATTTTGATAACTGTTAAAATGTGAGTTTGATGCATAAATTCCAGTCAGCCTTGTGATTATTTAGTTGGGGTTTAGTAAGTTTTTAGTAAGTTGAAGTTGGGTTAAACATCACAACACACAAACTATTATAGATGTGAGTCAAAATTGCATGGTCAGTACAAAGTTTGGAAACCGTTCAAACCGTTGAATAGAACAGAAATAGAACCATTCTCGCGAGCATGATTGACTGTTGGTATTTAGGTATACATATCCTCAATACATGATACGAACATAATAAATTACACAATATAATAAAATAAGAAGGATTGACCAGTTGTTTGTTGTCAAGTTGACGACAAATAATTGTTTATTATCCCGGGTTTATTATAAAGTTAGAAAACAAACACATTTGGAGCTAATTTTTAATTGATATTAATGAATTGCCACTGAATGATAGTGTTAATGATATAGTTATCGCAAGCAAACCCAGGGCTACACTGATAACAGCAGCAGGTTTTAATTAGTCTGGTACTTGTGCTATATGGTTGCTGATTTATGGCCATTACTTGGGGTTGTTAAGCCTTGTCGAATTACAAGTCTGGTGTTCGTATGTATCATACCTAAGAGGTGGTCCTCTATTTTAGCCATATCATATCATAATTTTCAATTCATGAATATCATCATTAGGGATATAACGGGACGATTATAATGTATTTTCTGAGATGAGGGGTATACTTCCGTTATTTGTTGATCGCCCCACGTATTTCATAAAGTTAAAGCGTGGAATATGTTAATCAGTTACACTCTGTGTGGTTTAAGCGATCGAGTAAGTTTGACCATTTTGTCCGAATGTTTAGATTGCGATTTGACCAAAGTTACATTTAACTACACGTAACAATTATACATGTAGATGAGAAGATCATTCACTGAAAATTTCATGGAAAAATATCAAGTATTGATAAAGTTAGAGCAAATACTGCATTACTTCTGGGACAACCCTCTTATAAATAAGATCTCTCAAATACCTAAGAACCATGTTTTATATTGTATCAAAAAGGTTACCTGATATATCACTCTGATAAAGCACTATTGAGTCAACATTTGTATTGAGATATTATTTTACCCATCCATTGTAGTTTTACACTTTGCTGACACTGGTTACATAATATTATTGCTATGTTTATTTCAAACCGCATAGTATCTTTCAACTTTAATCGAAGTTAAAATATCGAATAAAAGGTTGTTCTAGGTTTCCGGACCACGTGTAATCAAATGCAAAGTGGTTTATAGTTTCTAAAAGCGTCCTTCCGAATGCTAATAATTTCCGTATACTGAACTGTCAATGTCAGCAAATATGAAGTTAATATGAGTTGCTTACTTTCAAGACAAGATATGAAATATATAATTTAAGGTCACATTCTTAAGCTCTCCTTAATTTCCAAAGTTTGAATCAAACCTCAATAAAAGTTCATACTTATTATTCCTTGTAAAATTATATTCCCATATTTGGTGAATCGAGGTAATGCCTAATTTTCAAAAAATTCAAAATATTGTTTTGTTTTTTGCTGTGTCGCTACTTGCCAGAGAACCTACTTTAACAAAAAGAACAATTATCTTATACTCACCAAATCCAAGTTACATGTATCAGCATCGTCTACAAAGGAACTTAGCTGTTGTTGTGATAATGGATCGGGCAAACCTGAAAAAGCAATATACTATTTTATGACACATCAAATCCAGAACGCCATTTAAATTGGAACGCCATATCGATCTTATGAACTTTAACAAGCAATATTTAAGTTGTGTTCAAACATAGTTGGAATAGCAAAATAACGAGCCACTGCAACATAGTTTATACTTTACTTGTATTTACACTCACATTTCCGACCGGTTTCCTCCCAAAGATTGCAGAACAACGTTCTTGACACTCTAGTTGCCGCCTCTAGAAACCTTTTGCTAAAATCGTTCTTTCCGGTTTGTAAGGACCGCAGATGCACGGTTGTGTCTGCTGCTTTCTCGAGGACATGGTCCCAAATAAGCATCTGTAATTGAAATATATGTTGAAAACAAGTGTGCACCTTTACATTTGTGCATAAGGAGAGATTATTTTCCCAAACACAAAAATCATACCTATTGTAAATGGTTATAAAATTACAGATGTATGCAAAAAAGCCATATTTCCTCTAGTTTTAATTCGCGAGATTGATACTTTGGTCAACATATAGTTCCCCTCAAAAATTGCAGATACTGGAAGAATATGATAAGGTCTTATGGACACAATTGTCAACACCCGATTTCTAGAATATAAATATTTACATGATCTAAAGTTTTATGCGAACTCCTTCTCATTGAACCACGGGGAGAAAGTCACCCCTCTCTTATATTCTCTATGTTTACAGGTTAATAAATAGCCTAGAAGAAAAGAGGGATGGAGGCCTTACTCCCCATGAATTGCTCCAAAGTCAACCCGATTTGCACAATTCTAATAGAAATTACTAACCTTTATATATTCGCCCTGCTTTTGTAATTTTGCTTGGTAAACACCCCTTATCTCATAGAGTTCCGTCTCTAACTCTTTTTGAAGGTATATTTTACCACCGCTTTCAATCATATGCCAATCATTCAGAAACGAAGCCATGTTGGAATTGCAAGCGATTGCAATTGTCTGCATGCGTGTATAAGTATATCAGATTGTAAAAACGTTGATGCTATAAACTATGACGCTAAGGCCAGAAGATAGTCACACAACCGTTCAACCCTGACAAACGTAACACACAGCTTTGCTATATTTATGAGACCTTGATTTTGATTTTGATCATCTGGTTTTAGAATCGAACATTTTAGCATAGAAATTCCGGACACATAATTACTTTTTGAGAGGTTGATATTTTTTGTAAACTGAAACGATAGGTTACTATATCTAGCATCTCAAAACAATATTTCAAAAGTAAAGAGGGAACACAGTACAACCTGTTAATTCGAACACCTGGATATTCCGAGCACCTTCAAATCCGAACACTTTCTCTGGTCCCCGTTGCTTAACCATTTACTTTCATTTCAATGAAACCTATCTTATTCAAACATCTCCTAACTTGAACACTGAACACTCATGTGACTCATATAAACATGTGCTTGTCTTACTCAAACTGTTTCAAAAATAGTTCACATGTTTTGCATAACATTGCTCAAATGGTTTTAATTTAGCTTTTGTTTATTTTTGTGTCAATATTTCCAAAGAGAAAATCCAATAGTCTAAATCACAACTGGCCTTCCAAATCCAGAATCTCAAGATGCGAAATCCTGTCTAATCCGACACCTTTAACTCGTTCCGATGGCGTTCAGATTAATCAGGTTTTACTGTATTGCAGATTGTAAAATACTATACACGTATCAAGTTAACCAATTGGATAAGGCATACCAGTCGTGAAATGCATGACATTCCATAGCCTCGGGGTAAGAGCCAACAAGTCACCCAGAAACTAAAATAATTGTGTCCACACATCGTGCGCAAGTGAATCTTTTGTTTACCTGTAACTGACGTTATATGCCAACTAAATAAGTTAATGAAGGACGAATACACGGAATAATCTAGAGTTTGGACACTTTGGAAATTCGAAAACGAATCAGAAGTCGACATAGAAAGTGTTGAAAATGGATAGATGGACCCTATATATTTGTCTCATTTTATATATATATGGATACACTTACTCAACTAAAACACCCGGTGCTTGCAACAATGCGGTAAGTAATGAATTTATGTGCCAATTCTAACAAGAAACCCCCAAATACAAAAATAATTGCAACTGCATAATAATCATAAATTCCGGCGTTTGTGTTCTTATGGCTAGTACTGTGTTTTCTATCTGGTTTACACAATACTTACTCTTCCTTCCTTATCTTCCTTTGCCAAAACATTACCAAGGAATAGTAGTTATTATGAAACCAGTGAAAATAAAACAAAAATCAATTTCGATTTTCAGGGTGAAAGCTTTCTTTTAAACACTACATCTGAAGATCCACTTGGAATATCCCTCGATATAGCGAACGATAACAACGAAGACCCTCTTGGAATATCTCTTGAAAATAATGATCAGCCACTTGGTATTTCACTTATCTGTCAAGATGATACTGATACTAGCGCTGACAATTCAAAACTAGATGTATTCGCTTTTTGCGACGATGATGACAAATACGAAAAAGCGGTTAAAACACCTTCAAAAACTCGGCATAACGAAAACAAACAATTAACCAGTACTCCCATTGCACCATCCAAAAATCTGATGAAAAGCAACTTATGGAATGAAAGCTTTAGCGATTATGACGACGAAACATCTGCTATAGATAGCTTAAAAGAGTTACTACCAGAAGACTTAGGAAGCGTTACCCCGAAGGTCAACATCGGTACTTTCTCAACAGGTGAGTTATATTCCGCTCTCATAGGCGCCCTGCCGATTGAGTATTGTGTTCAGAAATGCGATTTCTAACAAATTTCTCAATCGGACTGAAGCAGCCCGATGAATCGGAGCTAATGCGAGGCTAGCATATAAGGGATCAACTCAAAAGTTCAATGTATTTTAACAGATAATTAGCGACCCCCATTCATAACTGTGTTTAAAATGTTAATGCATTTATATCTAGTATACACTATACACTGTATCTAACATAAAATGTAATGCAAATCAATTCTTCGTTAAATATTTCAATCTGTATTTTTGTAAAGTTTCAGTGATATTAGACGTCAGATTGCGTGTTTAATTAGAAAACAAAGTCACAGCGAAAATGTATCAGTTAAAGTTAAAAATCACACAAAATGACACAATCACCAGCTGAATATTTTAAATGTATAAAATTTTGTTCATTTTAGCCCCAAAACGTGAAAGAACGGTTTCTAGGATATTGGAAAAAAGCTTAAGACACGGTTCATTACTCCAGATTAAGTATATGAAGAAATGCTGCAGTTCAAAGTGTCATTTGAATTTGAACATGGACATGGCTCGTAGATGTAGGGAGATTTTATGGACGAAGGATTTCGAATCGAGACACGAATGGTTGATTCAGAAATTAAGAGACGCAAAACATCGCAATGGCAAATATTTTTTAATGATTGAAAGTGGATTGGGAATATGTTCAAAAGCATTTTGCCAACTTTTTTATATAAGCAAAGGATTCTATTATAAATCAGTGAAGGATTACGAAAACGGAGTTTTATCAACAGGTTATCAAAGGCGTAGAAGTAAAACATCACTCTATGATGATGCTAAATTTTGGTTAGAAGAATATGCGACTTATCACGCTGACCGTATGCCCGATTCAGCAGACATTATGCTTCCCTACAAGACGAGGAAAGAGGGATTGTACCTTCGATACAAAAGCGAAAGAGTCGAAAAATTTCGAAACTTTTTCAGCAAAACAAGTTTTATGCGTATGTGGGCCGACATGTTTCCCCATCTCAAGATTAAAAAGGTAAGTGTAATATGAAACCAGTTCATGTTATGAATTAAAAACAAATGCTTTCATTTCCTCATAGGTATATGCAACATTTAACTTCACTAAAAAGACCTACATGTATTTTTATACCATCACGACTTAAAGTCAGTGTGTACTTTGTATTTTTGCAATTTTAAAAAGTAGACCACTGAATATTCTAGTTTTTCGTACATTATAAAGAATTACCGACCTACAAAAAAAATCGAAGTAGACTTTGACTTTTTGTGCAAAAACGAAATATGAAGACGATGTGTGGAATGAATTATGGTTATCTGAAAATAGCACATGAAAATGAATGTCAACACGGGCGGCCCTCTTTGTTACACCTATTTTAACAGCAGCAATATCGAAACTTCGATATTTGACACTAGTTTCGATCGTTAAAACATCAAATACATACGTCTATGCTCTAATTGTTCAACCGTTATGGCTGGATAACTATAGCCATGCATGTATCATGTATAATATGAAATGTTTATGAATGCACCCACATTTCCATGGAAATTGCATCCGTACCCAAACCCCAAAAAATGAAATAGAATTCATAACGCCGATGAAAAGTGCATTCGGACCACAACGTCGAAAATTGGGCATGATTTGCCGAAATATACGTCTACTCACCAAACGAAGATTGTTAACAGTTCTCGAAATATAACTCTGTATAATTACAAACTTTTATTGAGTGCAGCTATACGTACTTTTTAGCCAACATTCTCTTTTGACTGCCTATTTTTCAATGATGCAAAATATGATAAATATAATGCAAAACTATTTCTATGTGGTCAAATAGTTTATTGTAACTAAACTTAAATAATAAACTACAATAGAAGTTACACGATATTATAATGCGTTAATTAAAAGATGTTACGTAATAATAATAGAAAATACAGGGTGTCCGGAAAGTAAAGATACAAATGCTCTAACTTCAATAGATTTACCTGTTGTGAGATATAATTGCTACAGATTGTAGAATGACATTTCAACAATATATCCTGTAACTGTCATGACATATAGATTCAAAATGAAAAGGTTATGGTCGTTATGGTAACGGGAGTTGGGGGTATATGGAGCAGCGTCACAATTCAGTTTTATTGTCTTTTATAAATCTTTTTCCTATTCCTATCATCATGGCACTCAACCCATTTGTTCCTATAAAACATCAAATTATGTGCCACAACAGCATGAAGATTAGTACTCTAATATTTTTTTATCATTTAACATGACTACTATAATCCAGTATTATGTTTTCCCCACATTATCTATATGTTCATGGTGCATCTTGACCAGAGATTCAAAGACCGGACAAAACCGCTGCTGTTTGTCTTCAGATTGCTGATAACATTCGCTTCTAGTTGAGTCTCATTTGAATACTGAACTTCTAACAAATATCGCTTTGGGATGCTCATTAAGGTAAAAGTCTAAAGGGGCCTTTTTCAGGTAAATATGGGACATTGTAAAAAAAGGTTTAGTGTCAAGACACTCCATTTTGAGATTTGTTGGCTTTGCTTTGTGAACTGGTGTATTTTTGTGGAAGTGGAATATTGACTTTCCTCATTAACCCAGGGAACTTTTATTTTAAGCACTTCTATAATATTTCTTTGATTACACTGATGACATAACATAGTTCCGACGTGTATCAATGACACCATTATACATAAGAGAACATAATAGCAACAATAATACAATATTCAAGAAAACAAAATACTGATAGAAAACACAATGATGAAGACTGTATCAAATGGTTATATTTTAGCAATTAATCAGATTTTAGCGATGATCTGGTACCGCTCCACATACCTCTCACCTCCGTAACCATGACAACCGTAACTTTAACCGGTTTAGACTATATGCGATGAGAGTTGGTAGACACATTGTAATAATGTTCCTCTACAATCTGTAGCAATTTCATTGCAAAACTCCTAAATCTCTTAAAATTTTAGTATTTGTATCTTTACTTTTCGGACACCCTGTACATCAACATTAAAATACCACCAACAGATTGTTTGATTTAGACTATCAAATACTCATTATTTTATGGTCCTCAATTATGCTTACTCTGTTATAGCCTATTAAATTCAAATAACACTCACAAGTGCATCTTTATACAAGATAATTCAAGTTCACTATTTGGCTCGCCTCTGTGTCAAGTAGAATTGATTGTAATTTAGCGTAGGGAACACCCTTCTTTAAAGGACTTGATCTATACTTACTTGTTAAATTAAACACATTGCAGCAAGGATGTCTTATCATTTTGAAAAGTATTGAAAGTGAATAAATTCATCTAAACAAATAAATGTAAATGTACTAATACTTAGAACCTTTCTGAATCTCCAAATTCACATGTGTCATCATTTACCTTGTTATACAAACCAGATATGCGCAGCTAAAATATATCAAAACATCATAATCAGGTTATTAGTGCAACATAAAACTGGGTAATTTATACGACATACCCAATTTTCCCTTGTGTGAGCCTAAACAGGCATATTCAAAGGGGGGGGGGGGCATTTTCCCATTTTAATAGCTGTTGAAGTTCACATTGAAGGTATTATGATATTATGGAGTAAGTAGATCTTAAAATTGGCAGCTTTTTGCAAGTAGTGAAAACTAGTAAGGAAGTGTCAAGCGATGTCATTCATAGTTGATGATACACAAACACCCAAAAGCATGGTCACTTTCTCAAAACACTAGTGGACAGGTACTTTGGAAAATGACGGCTTCTTTATTAAACATTTGATATTTGGCCTTTTTACCATGGTGAGACAAGCCTCTTCACTATAATATGATAATAAGGCGAAATCATCAATGAATATATATCAAGTAAAAGTTGTTTATTTCAGACAAACTGTTTCACTAAATGTGATAAATGTGTGAGTCTAAACAGACGCCTTGAGAGAACGCTGAACCCGGAACGAAGAAGACTGATTAAACAGTCACTGAACGAGCATAACAATAGGCAAATGTAAGTAGTACCACTTTTTAGCAATGACATACATGATTGTTGCATCATGTTCAGTATGGGTGAAAAAAGTTTAAATGCTCCCAAATAATAAGAATGGTAACCATTCTTATATAAAAATAATTCATCATTGTTAAACACCTTTGTTTAAGTGAAATGAAGTGTACACTTTTAGGATTTTTAGAAAATAGATATGACAAGGAATGACATTTGCCAGAAATATTCCAAAATATTTTATGTTGGGCCTGATTGCTATCTCTGATTCTCTCTTTAAGAATATCACACTTATGGACGTTTTATAGAGCTGCGCAATAAGTGATGACGTAATTTCTTATCTGACAGTGGGGTGATCAGTATCGGCCAAAGACAAAGGCTTATTCCGCTAGTGCATGGTTAAAGTCCGACCCATGGTCATATGTAACAACATTTGAATTTGAAGAACATATACACGTTTCGTACATCTTGTGTGGTTTTGTTAAACTGCATGTTATTTTTGAATTAAAAGATACCATCTTCCAATTAAGATTTCATGACCAAAGGCGAAATATTTATGTAAGTGGTCAGTCATGGTCACCGACCATGACATACCACACGCCTTCTGTTTGAGTAAGTTCAGGCCCAACTTCTAAAAGATGAACATACTCTCACAATTTCTCTTGATAATAGAATAAAGTATTCGAAGGAAACAAATTATAAAATAGTCAGTTGATTAATAGAAAGGAAGTAAACACCCTTTATAACACTTGATCCATTAATGTATTTCATATGACTGAAGGAAAAATTACTGGTCTAAGCGTATGCGTTTCACACATAACAATCTCTGATAATGATAACCTTAGTTACATTGATGTATAGGACTTTTTACGTACTTAATTCATTCGAAAGAACTAATACATGTTTTATGTGTATAATCTCTGATTACCCGACTTTCTGTACACTGTGTGTACATGGGATGATTTTATGTATTTTATTGTTCGAAAACCACCCATTCTCCACCACCCCACGCTTTTAACCATAAACATAAACAAGCTTTGTTATCTCATTGTAACGAGCACAGACAATTTTGGTGTTTATTAGTTATTAGTACTTAAATATTAAACTCAACTATTGTAAACGCATATTCTTAATTTTCTTAATACCATGGGCCAAATCCATATGCTCCACAGCGTTAGTCTATGTTTTAACAACACGATTTAATATAAAACTATGATATTTAATACGATAAGATATAATTATTATGATATTTTATATAAATCTTAATGATCCAGGCCACAGGAAAAGGGGTCTTATTACAGATTTTTTCAATCCTTTGTTTTTTGTTTATCTTAAAAAGCACAACGAAACCTTTCAAATGAGCCATGGCTTATGTGTTGACAATTTTTCATTACAGATACAGAAATGACGGACTTGAGTTTAGCACGTTTTCATCTTAATCTTTGGCACATTTTTGGCTCTGTAGCACAATTTCAATTTTTTGATGAGACTGGTTTTCCTGTGGCGAGGCCCAAATATACATTACAAAACTGGGATCATAGAAAAGCTTTGATCCTTTTAAGAATTTATATTTATTTTACAGGATGGAGAGGCAATATTATTATAACAAACGGGAACTATCGAGGAATGAACCGACACAGTACCTATCTATTATTTTTGACGGCATGGATCAAGGTAAATTAATTGAAGGTGTTTTTCATTATCTACCGCTGCATTCGTATATGCGAATGTCCAAGTTTTTCTTTTAGTCGAGAACTAACATTTTCGTTGGAAGTAACGCGTATTTAAAATTCTTGTCGGAAAGCTATAAAGAATTTTTAACGTTTAAAAATAGTATACATTTCTGGGCAATATACTCTATATTGCTTTGCGTCATCGACGCCTAAACAAACATACAGGTGTAACGGTATTTGTTATTGTCCGATGCATATAAGTAACAATGGGTCGTAATACAAATAACAGATTCCAATTAAGATATATCTCTGAATTTAGCATTCGCATGATTTGTTTATATTTTCAGGCAAAACTTCACTTCCACATCTTATAGGCTCTAAAGCTAAATCCGTTGGACAGGGAGACCTGCTTAAGACGCATATCACTGGTGTAATATCTCACGGGCATAGGTTGTTCAAGACATTCATTGACACCTGTGAATACCCGCATGATTCCAACCTATCAGTCAACGTTATTCTCCTTGTGTTGCAGACCATCGCCGCGAAAATGGTATGTAGGTTTTCCGAACCAATTAATGAAATGAAAACATGTTTTCTTACAAACTACTCGGTCTTGCTTCAAGACTGTGGCCTTTTTCTTATCTTTTTATCAAATTAATGTCTAGTGGCATAGGGCATCAAGCTAGACTATAAATAACGATGGCGTGACAGGAGGCCGTTTCTCGAAACTTTTCGTTATTAACAAATCGTTAATAGCGAATCGTGAAATTAACGAGTTGATTACGAAATGTGCAAATTTCGTTTCTCGAACCACCTCGTTGTCGTGCTCGTTAAGCATATTATGTAATTTACATTGTATATCGTAATATCAGTGACACAAAAATAAACTATTTTAAACTTAAAACTGAAACTATATTATATAAAGATAGTATTATATTGTTTAATCAGCATATAAAAAATGTGTTTTAATGGTTTATAATTTGTTTAGATACAACATCGTTATATTACGAGACCCCTAACCCTCTCGTTAAATCAGTCATGGATAACGAATAAATCGTTAGAAATCATGACGTCATCGCAAATCGTTAACTTTCGAAAAATAGAAAAAATCTTTTTGAACAATTGAAATGACGATTCGTTAATAACGAAAGTTTCGAGAAACGGCCTCCTGATTAATATAGTAGCGTTTCATGTTATTGAATTTTTGTTCATTTTTAGGGTAACAAACTGCCACCAACCCTTTATCTCCAAGCTGACAACTGTTGGAGGGAAAACAAAAATCGCTATATGCTTGGTTTCTGTGAACTCCTTATTAGGAATGGCGTTTTTAAAGAGGTAATTAACTCAATAACGAACTAATGATTACCAAAGATGACTTCATTTTCTATCCTCAGCTTCATAGAGCTTTAATATCAAGATGTCTATTTCCCCCAATGATAATCAGTAAAACTATGCATTTGAGAACTCGCACACAAATTATGTCACTGCAACTGCATGCTTGTAGTTTTTATTTTATTGCATGTTCTGCATCTGCATCTATTGAATTACAGCAAATTAGAGTTTCGTTGAAATAATAATTCCAATCCCTGAACAGTAGATAAAAACGTGACTCATTTTCACGTAATTCTTTTTCATTGTCATTGTTTTGAAAATTACACATGCTAATATCGATATCTTTACTCAACATCTATCTCGCCATTACAACACGTTCAAAGAACAACAACTAACAGTTGCTCGTACACACTATCCTGTCTCTTACGTAAGTAATGTTCTTAACAGTGAACACATGGTTTCTTTGTAGATTGAACTATCATTTTTGATTGTGGGTCACACCCATGAGGACATCGACTCATATTTCCATAAGATTGCTGATGGTCTCAGACAGCAAGAGGCAGAGACGATGGATGATCTTCTTTCGCTATTGAAGAACGGGCAAAGAATAAACGTCGTCTATAATTTCCGTAAGTGGATAGAACCACACCTCGATGAAATAAAACATCACACCAAGCCATTGCATTTTAAATTTATTAAGACGTCAAATGGCGTGAAATTACTTTATAAGGGGCTCCATACTCAACCATGGGTTGAGGCACCCTCAATTTTAAAAACGCTTCCACAGGGAGAACCGGACATACAGACACCAAATTTCGAGAAATTGAATATTGATGGAATACAACGCAACCAAAGATTTTTACGACCACTATACAGTGACCAAAGGGACGGCAGCCAATATATCTGGTGGCAAAAGTATATTAAGCATGTACGAGCCCTTCTCGCATCAGATGAATTGGTGAACCAATATCTACTGAGAAACAAAAAACAGTGGATGCTTGATGGGTTACCAAAACTGTCAGCTGAGGAGGATACCAACATAGATTCAGCCATTCCCATCGAAATTGCCAGAATGTTGGAAATAGAACAAGAACAACCATCGGTGAGTGGTGTGATTACAAAGGTTGTTTTTAACTATATTCAGGAGTACTGTTTAATGTACGTATGTGAATAACACGCAGAAATATAATGTACATGTATATAGAGATTAACCTATGTACTGTATATGAGATTCAGGATATTGGGATTATCCCGATATCATGAACCGACTATAGGATGATCTGTTTATTCCATACCAATATTGGCCACGTTGTTAAATTGGCCGGAGTTCAGAAAATGTCCATCCAACCGTAAAGATTATTTTAGAATAGCCATGTCCAGTTTTGTTTTCTTGGCAGTGGCCGGGTCAGATATCCATCCAAGTTAATTTTCTCAAATCTTTGTTTAACAGGGATAAGTACGCCCATTCTCTTCTATAAACCATCAAGCAGATCGCGATTGTCTGCATTTTCTCCATTATTGTTTACATTCATTATGCGAATGTTACAAAAATGAAGCAATATGCGAACGGCGATTTTGACGTCAGCGGACAGATGAAATGTATGCCCGCTCAAAGGGGGACGTATAGCTATATCTACCCGCTGATGAAAATATAAGTGTTTACAAAGCTGCTTTATGTATTTATAACACGTTCAAGTATGAAATAAATGTACATATACGGAAAAAATCAGTTATTTAGAGCTCGGTTTTTGCTATGTCTGGGAAAATAAATAAATCTACCCTCGATCCAGAGGGTAAATATATTGTATTCTCCTACTCAATATATACCGGGGTAACCTTGTATCCTAAACCTCCCATTTAATAACCTTCATTTGTATACCTGTGTAATGTAAATTTGAATATGATAATTTTGAATTTCAGAATAATATCTGGCATAATGAGAACATGGTTTAAACTATTTCTGCCATAAAACATTTCTTATTTCATCTCATTCAAAACATCTTCCTTAAAGTCCAATCGTTCCATACTAGGTTACATGATGTAATGATTGTTGGAACCCGTTTATTGTCATCTGATTTATACCATGGACTTTCTTTTTAGATTGTGGTGGGTAAAAAGACTGCTAAAAAAGCTGCTAAAAGAAAGGCAGACAAACCACAAGGAACAGGTATATTAAATCAATACATCATCTATTTCAAAAGTATTTTGTGATTCTCTATAACACGTGATTGTAACCTATCACGTAGGAGGTATAACTGCATCACGTAACTTTAAAGAAAGAATAATTCATATTTGTTTTCATTTGAAAATGTTAAAATCAAATATTTCGAAAGATTGATTCCTCTTATGTATTCAAATCTGTTCTAAATTTACCTTACCAAATTTCAGATCCCGAGTAACGGATGTAATACTTTGATACTTAATCATTTGCTAAGAACTTGTTATTTTGCTTAGACAGCGTATTAACAAAAATGATAATCCCAGCAGTTTGAGTATTCTCATTAATACAGGGTATTTTAGTAGCCCCTCTGAAACCATGTGTGTAGCATCGCCACGTCTATCCGGTTATCATTTGTTAAATAAGACAATGTATCAACGTTTGTGGGTAACAGCTGTCATCATGGCAGAGTTCAAACCTTTAAGCGTTATCACTTAAATGGGAAACGGACAAAATTAAAAGATTACTGAACAGGGTCCATAAATATTACCTCATACCCACATACTTCGATACCATGTATCTTTTCGTGTTTTTTTCTTATATAACTTTTCATAAGAAATTGTATGTATCATGACATGCTGGCAATGTTACATGTAAGCGTTTAGAGGGGTTGCACATATATGAAACACCAGGTGCACATCGATCCATTATGAATAAAAAATGCACGTTCTTACAATATAGGCACTTATACTCATAAGGGATTAGGGTCCTTGCGGCTGTATAGATATCGTCCTAACCATTTGAAAGTTAATCAAAATGAGAACTTGGCATGATATTTCAATGTGCAAGGGTTTGTTTTTGTTTTGCATATTAATTTACTATTAAATAATTTGAATTGCATAATCATGGTTACAATCATGCTTCCAGACAAATCTGCCAAAAGAAAGAAGCAATCTCTTGGAAGAGTGGGACAAAGCAAAACAGTTGCAAAGCAGACCAACAGTATCAATAAAAGTAAAAAAATTCTCTTTCAATTGGATTTGTCACGTGATGAGTACAAATTAAAACAACTTCAAATATAGCATCAGTCAATAAATGAATGCATTTCAACGAACTTTGTCGAGGATTCAGTGCATAAAGAAACAAATATTCGATACAATGTGTGAGTTGTCAAAATAAACATTTAATCAATAAAAAATTGCATGTTTTTTTAGGTGAAGTTCAGAAAAAAGATAATAAAAGGCCGCCCTGTTCTGAGGAAAATGTGAAAGGGAAAAGAAAAAAGACAAAGTTGAGGCAGAAAATCGGTAAACTTCATATTACTTGATAACTATTATGAAGACTACTTATTAAGAGCTTTAAAGCTAACATTAATTTCATAATATTAATTCTGTATTGTCAATTTAAATTGTTACAGACATGTTATTATAAAAATAATGATCAGAATCATTGAATTCGCTCCAATGTTTTTTAAATTGATGAAGAATTGCATTTCCCAATATACTATAACAAGTTGCAAAGGGAGCCCCTCACACCCATGCACTTGCTGAAGCTATTCGTTCTAATTATTCTTTTTCCTCATTTTTCAGTGAATCGCTGCAGACCTGACAGCTTTCATTTTCATCCCTGGGGACAGTTTATACCATATGATCTAACAAAGGACATTTGGATACTTTTTATTATCAATCTCCAGATTTATATTGATCTAATTTTTTACTTCATTTTCCTATATCAATACATAAATCTGATTTATGTACTCTATCTTGCAATATTGAAAGCATATATTCGAGAGCATATCAATCAGTCTATTTCTCTGAAAGCAGTGCAAGAATATTGCAACATTCCACATCATTGTGATATGATGCGCATATCTCGTTGTAATATACCAGTTTTCTAACAGGATATTGGAAGTGACGATAGGCTGATATTTTGCGTAGTAGGATCATATAAATGACCAATTTTAAATCAGGTAACTCTGTGCATACTGCATTTGTTAGAAGTTATATTTATAACTGATTTGGTCATTGTGAACATTGATCATTCTAAGGCAAAAACGACTTGGTTAATCTAGTGTAGTAGTTATAAAGTGTAAAATAACTTGTCAATTTTTATTTCTTGGAAATATCAACATGACATTAATTGTTCATCTTGGATATAATATAGTGAAATTAATTATAAGCTATAAGAATGATAACAGTAGGTAAATGCATCGTTGTTTCCATTGTAATTGTCATTATTGAAAAATGTTTTAAGATAATCTTATGAAGAATACCCATGGTAACTACAAGTATTTCAACCAATATAGGCATTTCTTTACGGATCACATTCTTGTATCATGTGGATATTTCTATGAAGACAGTCCTTCTGTAAAAGTAAAAACCTGTTTCTATTTCTGCTCTTTTTCTGAAAGAGGCAACCTATAATTATAGTACTATGGTTGTGATTTGTAACAACATACAGATTTACACAGACCGCCATTTTGTCTAATGTACATGTTTATAATTAAGAAGTCATTGGAGCTCTTTTATACTTATAAGGATAGATATTTTTGTTCTTATGCCGTGGTCACATTTGCTCCAATCCATCGGTCGGCGCCCGGCCGATTGAGTATTTTGTTTACAATTCTATTTAATTTTGAACATAATACTCAATCGGCCGGGCGCCGTAGTAAAATTCGGGGCAAATGTGACCAAGGCATTATTATTACCCGTGGCTGTCTTGTCACCAAGTATTCTATAGACATCCATATACAGGTAGCCATTTCTCTTGTAAATATATTTCTATGTAATTTGTTTGTATGTAATTTGTATTTTGTATTTATATGTAACCTTGCTTCATATAGAAATTTCTATACGGACAGTTATCAAGTATCCTATAGAAATTTCTATACAGGCAGACATATCCCCAATATAGATACATGTATCTCTACATACATTGTAAACCTGCCTCGTATAGAAATTTCTATATGACAGTTATCGAGTATGCTATAGAAATTTCTATACAGGCAGACATATCCCCAATATAGATATCTCTATATACATTGTTGACTTGCCTCGTATAGAAATTTCTATACGGACAGTTATCGGATAAGCTATAGAAATTTCTATACTGTCTGTATAGAAATTTCTATGCCGGTAGTTATCGGGTTTGCTGTAGAAATATTTATACAGTGCTTGCCTCGTATAGAAATTTCTATACGAACATGCACAGTTATCGGACATAATATATTTTCTTCACATGCATCCGTTTCTCTAGTATAGAAATTTCTATACGAATGGGCAGCTTGTTTCTTATAGAAATTTCTATAGGGACATTTTAAGTCTGATATACAAATGTCTGTACATTCAGCCATTTTTCTCGTATAGAAATTTCTATACTCGACAAATTAAATTTTTGATAGATTGTTTAGCTTATATTGGCAGCAAAAGCTTAAATATTAATACTGATGTACGAATATAAAGTAAATGTAGTTGTACAATTTACAAATTGTCTATTTGAAATAAAGCAAATCATTTCTAAAAGTACATTTCACAATGGTATTTTTTCATTTTTTGACTGAAATAAAAGGAACAGATGGTTTTTTCCTTTATTAAATAGTCAGGACTTCTAGGTAAAATATATAATAGTTAATAAATCAATGATATTGTAGCGACCCGAGATTGGTTGGTCCTTGCAAATGCCAACCTTTCCCCCGATGCCGCTACTTCCATTCCGCTCGGAACGTGAATAGTACAGCTGCATGGTCAAAGATTTACATAGTGACTTTAGCTCTATAGCTTTTGTACTCAGTACAACTATTTTGTAAGAGTATTTTTTGTCAGGTAATTTTATGTAGGGGTGATCTCGCGAGAGAGGGCGAGAAGTTAGAGTTGGCGCCATATTTTTTTCCTCACGAGGCAATTTTAGTTTGAATTGCAGTGTTTATAATTCATTTGGACACTCGATCAGCGCTGACCAATCGTTATGGGAGCCAGAGAGATGAGGAGATCAGATTGGCTGCAGAACTGAGGCTGTATTTCCATATTTGAATTCCAATGCTGTGCTGAACATACATATGTAAATATTGTGAAATTATTTTCGCTTTTCAGGAGCTTGAACCTGATGTGTGTTTTGATTGTTAGCGCTCCTGATGTAGCTGCGTCTCAGTTAAGACCTTTGTAATTTGTTTGTAATGTGTCAGGTTTGAATCTTCAGATTTTGCTTTTAGAGCCATGTAATTCATGTAATTTACTTTGATAAAACTGA